AAATTTGCTTCGGGTTGCGACCAATTCGGGCTGCGACCAGAGTCACGGAACGAATTAAGTTCATAACCCGAGGTACCACTGTACTTGCCATGTGACTTCTAAATTACCCCTTCCATGCCTTCAGGATGCAATGCTAAACAAAACAAAGCAGTACCCAGAAATGTGAAGATTTCAGGATACTCTAAAGCGCTGAATAAGTTAGTTGGCTGGGAATTTTGGGAGCTGTAATTCCAGCATATGTAAGGGTCACCAGGTTGGGAAAGGCCAAGATAGGTATTACATTGCCCTTAGCTCTACTTAACTACACAGCCCCATCCAGCACCCTTAAACCACATTTACATAAAAGCTTTCAGTCTGGAATTAAGGCAGCATCCGATAAGGGAAATGTTTCAACCCTAGTTGTGCTGGTATATCAATGGATAGGATGATGAATCATATAACTCTAGTGTCAGTTATGATTTAGCAATGAGAGAATCTGGGCGTCACTGGTAGAGTTGGTATTTCTAAGGATAGCGTAAGCCAGTCACTATCAACAAGTTAAGATCCAGCACAGTTTCACATAGCAATGCATTTCATCATGCAGGGAAAGGGGAGACTACACAGAAGCAAGGGGTATGGGACCTGGCAAATCAAATGCAGGATTTGGGGTTCTTTGAAAAGCCCAAACCATCTCTCCATCAATTTTGAATGCTCCAAGGTGAGCTGCTACGATAACGTAAGGATAGCCTACTTGAGTAACACACAGGGCCATTTAAGGCCAGCATCTTGCTGTCTGCTCTGCAAAACGTGAGAGCAATATCTTTTCTTTTTAGCTTACCCACAACAAATGAAAACTAGATTGTCTTTGAATATGGGAGATTCCAGTTTAACTGCCATTAAAGCAATTGGCTGCATATGCCCCAACAGACTTTTGAGAAAAAAAGTATACAAAAGAAGTACCTACCTGCTCCGGATGTTCATGAGTTCTGAAGAAAGGACCGTGTAGCTCTTTTGGCAGAGTGATCCAAAAACAAGGAACCTACCAAGAAGATAAAGAGGGTTTTGAAGTTACATGAATTTTGGATACCCTGGTGCCTTCATAATAGTGAGTAGCTAGAGGGATGATACAAAAGCAGAAATAAAGTACAAGCTATCTGAGTTGAAACTAATTCATTGCAGACTGGAATATTATTTTTACTGCATAGTTTCAACCTCTGGGGATTGATAATAGATTTTTTTTTTAAAACACCCCTACTTATAATCCAATGGTTGCCTACTTAAAATCCAAATGTTCAAAAAAATCCTACTGACTGGGTTAGATCCCAAACTACACAGCTTTAACTCTTTAAAGGAGCTGGGGTTCACTTCCTCCAATCAGAAGCCCCACATTACCCCATTTAAAACTGCAGGGAGTTTTCTATTGCAATTTATGAAGATGCTTGGTTAGTCAAGCCACTGCATCATGAAGCCCATTACTATGTTCTATCTGCCAGCAGTCCTTCCTGGCTATCTGACATGCTTTAACTGGGGGAACTGGAGTTGAACCTACTGTATTCCAAATGTGTCATTTTGTCCCAGAACTATGATTACAAGAGTAACTGCTGCAAATTTTTGTTCAAATGAATCTTGCCTAGTTATCTTCTTTGTTTGACAGTGGCTCTCTAGGTTCTGGAAATACAGAATCAAGTAAGGCCCAACCATAGTGTCATAGTCCCTTTTCTTTCACAAGCAGTTTGAAACATCTCAGGGAAAGAGAAGGAGTTATTTGAAGTTCTATTGGGAATGGTTCTTTGAACACTGGCTTAGCACCATGCCCAAGGGAAATCCAAAACATGCAGCTCTTGAAAAGCAGGTACAGGGGAGCATTTAAGAAGCTGAGCTAGGAAGCCCAGGGTTTGAAACTGCAGCCTGGCCTCACCCTAAGTAGCCAAAAGCTAGCAGTTCTTCCAGTCGCAGCCACTCTGGGCCAGGAACCTGGGAATTATGCAGGGCCCACCTGGTGAAATTGTTCAGAGGGTTGGCTCGGTAGTCAAAACACTCCTACACATTTAAAATGTACTTATCCCAACATTAGCATTACTATGAATTTAAGAAAAAATCCATTTCTCATAACTACAAAAGAGTATCACCTAACCTAATTTGCATTATATAACCCCCTACAATACGTATCACAGAGAATTCCTTAAGTTAATGACACACAGAATAGACTCTCTCCCCGTTATATTAGGGCTCAGTGGCAGAACAGAGGCTTTGCAGGCTGAAGACCCTAAATTCCATCCCTGGCATCGCAGAGGAAAAGATGGGAAAGGTCCTGAGACTCTAAAAACACCTTCTTCAACCTTGGTATAATCCACACGTCTAAATATCAATTGCCAGAATTCTCAAATACTGCTATCCTAGCTGGAAAGTGATGCCCCCGTACTTGGGGGCACATTGGTGCCCTCCACTCCAGGTTAGAATTCTGGGAATTGTGGTTCCAAGACTTCTGGAGGGCACTCAATTGTGGAATGCTAGAGTAGACCTTATGACTGATCAGCCAGTTGTTTAAATTAGGATGTTCATATGAGAAAGTCTGCATACTTTTCCTTGCTTTTTATATAATGTGCTCATTCCTCTTCTATTTTCTTCTGTCCATTTAATTCAGTGGCTCAGTAAAGGGGAGTGTGTGGGGAAACCCAAAATACTGAAAAAACTCCTGGGATTTAATTTTAATCCATTACTGTAGCTTGCTTGCCTTGAATGAAAAAAAAAAAAAAGGGATCCATCAAACCATTTCCAAGATTGAGTCCAACTTTCTATCGAACCCCCTCCATATATGGGGCTCAGAAAAACTGCCTCCGTTACTCCCCCCAACACATACTAAAAATAAAAGACCCTGGAAAATGTATAACCGTGCCACATAAGCTTTTCCTAAAAATGATGGGCACTTCCTAATTAAATAATGCTACTTGCCCATCTTTAAAGTAGTACACACAGCTGCATCACAGGAGTTAACATGGGGTGCTGAATTCAATAGCCTGTGAATTTCCTTTTTGTTTTTAACAGGAACCCAAGTACCTGCTTTTCAAGGTTCCCCTGACAGGCTTGAAAAACCCTAGGTAGAAACAAATGCATGCTGAGATCTCAGAAGCTTGGGGTGGGGCAGGTTTTTCACTCGCTTTGGCAAACCTTTCCTGCTGCCCCACCGGCCTCATGCAACACACAATAAATGACAGTAGAAGCCAAATAAATCTAAATGGAGGAAGCTGCCCCAAGGAAATTGGCCAATTTTTTTTGTTTTTTTAGCAACAGTAGGCTTTATTAATATCCTATGCCCTACTTTCTCTATTAAATCCAAAATCAGTATCTCTTAAGACGGAGCTTTACAGTATTACTTACACACACACACACACGCACACACGCAGGGAGCGGAAAAGATTTTAAAACAAAAGTTGAAACATCAAGCTCTTTCCTCCCACCCAAGAGCAAAGAGAGCACAACACAAGACACTGTAAAGAAAACAATGCCCCAAAATAATATGAAGCGTGAGTTGGGAATCTTAATTCTGTTTCTTTAGAAAAGATCCTTGGGAATCCAAGATGACAAAGAGGTGTCTCCCGC